AGATGTCAAGTGTTTTTATTTGATTGGGCTATTAGTTACCACAACAAATTTTTGAGGTTTTTTGAAATTAGCACACCTGAAGTCTAAGCAATTCATTTAAGGCCTCAGCCAATACTGATTATTTATAATCTATACAATATAATTTTCAATTAAATGTTATCATGGTAAATCCTCTTTTTCCAAAACATATTTACCTCCCCTCACACTACAGCTATTACTCGACTGCCAGCATTTTCTTACTTTCCCCATCTAAGCATTAGTCTGAATTTTTCTCATTTGCTTCAGTCTTTTATTCCCCGCTTATATGCCCTTGGCGATATCTCTTACATAACACTCTCCACCTATGTCAATGCACCTTCTATCCTGGTACTGTATATAAGCACCTCATTCAAACAATATTATCAATTACTCTCAACAAAATGTTCACTAACAGGTTTCCTTGTACTATGATGATCATCGAAGATACGTTGAGCATTTTTAGTATTACTTTGTTAATTTTCATAACAAAAATAATAATAATTAATTTGCCAAGCTGATATATGGCATGAATACCCGGATTATTATTTCTGACACAGAGGCAAATCAGGTATTTCCTATCCCACCTCTAATATCTAGCATCGTTCAACAGTTGAGGGGAGGGGGTCACTCTCAGTTGAGTCTGTCAATGATATTATTCGTAGCAAGATGGAGACATATATTCAGTTCCTCCAGGGGGCTATGAGGCTGCAATTGAGGGTGATCCTGAATATTTTGGAGTGAATTTAGATTTGCCTTCCTTTATTTTATTGGCTTCTCAGGAGGCCACTTTTGAATCAGCTGCCTCAAAGCATTGGTAAAAAGGATGCCTGTTTTCAAAGTTTTTAAAAATATTTATTACTTGTGCTGTCGTACCTCTTACATTTTTCACTTATTTTATGTTACAAGAGTTGCAGGTGTTCCAAACAATACTAACTTTGACAGAAACAAATCTTTGAAGTCTTGAAACATTGTCAGTATCTAGAAAAAGCCAAAGCAAGAGGATTTCCCATGAGAAAATGTAATTGAAAATTATATTGTTGTATTAGCTTAGAAATAATTAGGTATTGGCTGATGCCTTAAATGATTTGTGTAGACTGCAGCTGTGCTGATTTCAGAAAACCTCAATAGCAATTTATGGCAATTAATAGCCCAATCAAATGAAAACACTTGACTTCTAATGTTTCTTTTTGATACTACAGTTGAACCTCCTACAATCGGCAAACGTTTATCGGCACCACCCATTTTCCGGCTAATTTCAGAAAAATGGACAGATATTAATTTTACAGTAAAATGTTTTAACTATGCTTATGTTATTTCTGTTCAATGTAAAATACTGTGTACAGTACAATATAGTACAGTAGTGTCCAACAAATGTTTTTTTTTCTCTTTCATTTTCAAATTTGTCTGCAGCTTTTCAAGAAATAAAAGTAAATGCTGTACTTATTATTTTATTTTTTACTGTACAATAAAATACTCTCCCATGCATTTTTTTTTATGTAGAATACACTGTACAATACTAATACTAATGTTATATGACTGAATATTCTTTGCCAATTTGTAAAAAGCATACACACCATAACAAGTGTAGGCTTAAAAAGTAACTTGATTAGAAATTGTTGTGTCTGAAGGCAGGATTACCTCTGGCTTTTTATATATTTTTTCCACTTGATAAAATGTTTTGATATACAAATTTTTAAGTCTAATTTATGTGTTAATTCTAACTATATTTCAACAGTTTTAATTCAAAAATATTTTAGAATCAGTATTTGTCATTTTCTGGCATTTACTTGTAATTCATGAAGTAAAAATCTTATTTTCATTTGTGCATAGCTGCAAGGAGTTTTGCCTGTAAACAAAGACCCACTTGTCAATCTTTTCTATTTTTTATTCATCCCAAACAATAAATATTTTTGCTAATAATCAATCACCTTTTGACAGTATATTATATGTTTCTTCATTTTCAAATGTTTCCCTTTGTTTTTTTTATACAGGCCTTGATTAAAAGTTATGGTGCCATGTCAAGTGGATTGATCATTTACTAAGGAAACACAGCTTTAAAAACAGCTATAAAGAAAGTTTAAATGTGATTTGACAGAGCAAGAATTAGTTATACTTGTCATAGTATTAGGCCTGTTAAAATTTTACTAATATTATAAACTCTTTTAATTCTTAAATCTGTGAGGGACTAGATAAAGAATGTAGTGTTAAATAATATATTAGGCCTAATACTAATGTCTTATGGTTTATATTTAATTATGATCGTGCTTTGTCAGCTTGGCAAAGGCATTCATACCATAACAATTGTTGATAGAGCAATAATTAACTCATGTAATAGCAAACTAACATTTTTTTAATATAGATTTTGTAAACATTTCCTTCAATGCCATTCATTTTTGTGAATTGTGAAAGTATTACTGTTTAATTATATCTGTTTGAAAACTACAAACATTTTCTTTAGTTTAAAGTTGTAAAGTAACTTAAGGTAAGCTTATACAGTTTAAAAATGGGTTGAATGAATAACAAAGAAAACTATTATAAGTTTAACAAAGTAGCAAATGTCCAGTGTTTGAAGAAGGTTTTGCCATTATCAAGTACAAGTAGTTTACCTAGACATATATGTATACAGCATAAAACAAGTCACATTCTGGAATTGTTTTATGGTTATCCTATTCAGATACTGTACATAAATGAATTGTGTCAGTGGCTACTTAATTATTGCTACTTGCAATTGTGATATGTTTTAAATAAAACATTATCACCCTTATCGGTACTAGAAAATGTTAGATAAAAATTTATTTTTTGCAAAGTGCACAGAAAAAACTGTGTAAATGAATAAAAGAAGATTAGTATATTAGAATTATGCAGTTATGGAAAAAGATAGAAAAGCTTCTCATGCCCATTTTTGTTTTTTATGCTTGCTTTTAGGAAGTGGGAGTTGTAAGGGACTTGTACCAATTATACCAAATTTTTTTAAGTTTTTGTTCATTATAAAGTTCATGAGATATTGCTCTTTTTTGTTTGGACAAATTATCTATAGACAGACATATACCTTTGTCAAATACTACTGTATTAATTCATGTCTCTCTTTTTCTTTTTTTTAATATATATATATATATAAAGTCACAGTCTTATGAATGTGAAATAATGAATCTGAGGAATATGCCCATGATATAATTAGGGTATCAAGAGAGGCTGGGATCTCTGCAGTTGATATGCATATCTAATCATTACTTAATTGAAGAATTAGGGTGCAAGAATAACCATTAATGCATCTTAATTTTTCAACTGGTTTCCTTGTTTATGTATCATTATTTAGATGAATCCCACTGATCAAATGGAAGTTTCATTGATAGAAAATATTATTTGTTAACATGTATACTATCTTCTCCAGGCTTTGAGCATCGGTAAGACCATCTTGTATGGACAGGGTACTCTTTAGGTGTCTTGGGGAGCCCAGAAGTTTATTCCATAAAACTGACATGTGCCTTAGTCATGTGTACATTCTCCACAATGATCCTTATTTCTCTTCAGATGCTACTGAAAGTGGTTTTACCTCTTCATATTTTTAAGCCATCTAAAGTGTTTTTCATGGGATTAATGTCAAACATGGTTGGACTGTTCCCATGTGCCTCTTTCACTTGCTTGAACACTGGGCTGTCCTAGTGTGTCTTCTATATCATATTCTTAAATAGACCCTTACAAAGTTTTCTTGATTCATACATGGCCAAGACCTTCTAACATTATAATGCCCAGATTTATTCATTCTACCTTGAGGGCAAAATTGTACCACTGAGTTAAACAAAAATGTATAGAAAATAACTTGTTGACATTCTTCCACACATTATGAAAAAACCTTGGAGATGATATTTATTCAAAAAGAAAGTGTTATTTTAATTTTTACAAAAAGAAATTTCTAATTTTGATTTAAGGTTAATTTCAGCATTCTCCAAAGAAAAGCACTAATGCTGGTGAATTGTTTGATTTTTTTTTCATAATAGCCCCCCCCCCCAATCACACAGGAGAAAAGTCATAACGGTACTGAACATAACACTCTGATTTGATCTTATAATTTAAATTTAAAAAATGTAATTTTATAAACTTTTAGCCAATCATTATTTCTCAATATTAAATTTCATAGTGTGATGTAATATTTTCAACTGCTTGGAAGACAGAGCTATCTTGTCATGAAGTGGTGGAAAAAATTAACTACTAATTCATACAAATACTAGGTATAGAGATTTTTAAAAAATTATTTGCTGAAACTACTTAGTCTATAGAAAGTTCTTCTTCTAAAGTTTCAAAGTATTTCATCAAGTATTTGTTGTTTTGCACTCCATTAAAACAAACCACACAACAAGTGCATCAACTTGATGTTCAGTGGGTGAAAAAAAAACTCCAAAATGAATCTTCTTTTGTTGGAGGGGGATACTGAAAAGTTTGGGCCTTAAGTAACTAAAGTAATTAATTTTTTGACTTCCCTATAAATCTTTGGTGAAATGAATATTAGCTAGTAGCCCCCTCCCCATAAAAAAAAAAGTCATTTTTTGTGGAATGTTTTTCACCAGTTGAACTGTTTCTCAAAAAAATTACAAGATTTCCAATTGTGTCAAATGATCTACATTTTTCCGGTGTTTGTATAATATCCGTAACCATTAAAGAGTTTTATGTTAGTTGTACTTTGCTTTGGTGTTAATTCTAATTTTCAATGTACTTTCTGTTTAATGCGATGGTGCAAGTTAACAAGTTGAGATTTAATATATATTTTGACATTTTTGCTTCCTGTGGTTCTAATACAATAATTTGATATTTTATAGACATTTTTTAAGTCTAACATAGAGAAATGCTCGAGAATAAACAAACAAATTGAGTATATAGTATTTTGTTTATTAGTTTCTTGTTGCAATTTTATGAAACTTATAAAATAAACATTTATTTTTCTTGCTGTCAGTTTATTAACATAAATTTTTCTTTCTATTCTGCAGGGAAACTGCGAAAATGAACTGATAGTTGGAAGAATGATAGAAGATTATTCACTGATTGTTGATGGTACAGATTCAGATCAACCAGGTTATATTGCCATGAAACCTCACAGTATGGGAGAAGTTGTGCTAGATTCAAAAAATGAACAAGTGATTATGGAAGAAACTGTTGGGGATGAAATGATTGTAGAGCAGAGCATTGAAGTAGGTGGTGATGGGGACAATTCTCATGGTGAGATCATTTTGGTACCCAACAGCATGATAAAACAAGAGGATATAATTGAGGGAGGTGAGGTGGTAGTAGGTTCTTCAGTAGGTAATGAAATTATCATTGAAGATCACCTTGGAAGCAGTCGATACATGATGCCAGATGGCTTTGGAGTTAGTCTAGATGGAACAGGTTTTGATGATTCTAGACTGGTTATAGATACAGAGAATATTAAAATGGAGGAAACACCTACTGTAGGTTACGACTGTGGTGAATGTGGTGCAATGATGAAGAGTCGAGCTGCTCTGAAAAAACATATAAAAGGTTACCATTCCAAGGGGAAAACACCTAAAGCCAAGAGATCTAAAAATATTGATGTGGACAGCTCACCAAACAGCCAAATATATAGTTGTCCGTCTTGCTCATACTCCTCTCAGCGACGTGATAAGTTGGATAAACATATGCAGAAACATGTTTTACAAGAAGGCTACCATCCATGTGGCAAGAAACGACATAAACCTGAGACACCTCCATTACGATACAAGCACAATGCAGAGGAATACAAATGCTCTCTTTGTCCTTATACTTGCACTGTGTATAAAGCTCTCAGGAAACATCAGAAAGTGCATAACTCTGGAAATAAGTACTTCACAATTAAAGTCAGCTGCAAAATTTGTGGTAAAGACCGTCCCACAGAAGCAGACTTGGAGAAACACATGAAGAAACACCGAAATGATAAACATTTTTTGTGTGACATCTGTAATTTTGCTAGCATCCAGCTAAAAAAGATTATTCAACATCGTAGAATGCACACTGGTGAGAAACCCCACTTGTGTCCTCACTGCACATACCGATCAGCACGTAGAGACAATCTGCGATCACATGTTCGAAGAATGCACAAAAGAGAAAATGTTTACATAGATACTTTTAACCCAGCAGATGAACCACCTAAGGAATAATTCCTGAAAATACCATACATAAGTTTTAGCAACTGAAATGCAGGGGTATAAAAGAAAAGTTTGGATCTAAAAAATAACCCCAGTGTGATTATAAATTGAATTTAGTTATTTGTTTTTCTTTCTGTTAATTTTTAATTTGTTTAAGTCATATGTTACATAAATGTTTGTTGTATTTTGACCACAAGGAAATTAATGTTGTATATACATATATATAGTTGTGTAATCATATTAGTTGGTAATTCTTTGTTATTAAGTATGCTGTATACATAATTCATCTACCTTTCATCTTTATGCAAAGCACGTCTAAACTTTTTAGTCTTGTACTTTTTATTCCAAAAGATGTCAGAATAAATTTCTTGCCACTTTTATTTTGTATGAAATTGATTTAAAATACCAACCAAAAGATAAAAGCTGATTTGGGTAGTTCTTGTTTTAATAATCTATTTCATTGATAAGCCAATGCTTATAAAATTTAAATTACTAAGCTTGTGCTTGTTTTTGTTACCATAATAAACATCTCTAACTGTATTTTCTACAACAACAACAAATATATATATATATATTGATTCACAGTAATGTGAGTGAGTTACCTTAAGCTTCAAGAATATTTTAGTAAATTCCTATTATTAAACTCAAAGATTAATTCATTGGTTAAAAGGTTGTAGTGTGAAACATGCGAGTAATTTTACTTTGAAGTAAAGTAATACAACTTTTTTGGAAATAATTACAGATTTGAACTTTTTGAATTTGATTTTTCATGCACATACAATGTAATGATATTTATTTTAACTGTAGCCTTAGTACTAGTTTGCACTGCACATCCAACTATTAATGCATTGAGGTTTTGTGTCATTTACTTACAGCCCTCAGATTCAAATTTTATTGGTGATATATAGTTTTGTACTGACTTTTTTATTATCAGAAATAAGGAAGGAAAAAACATTTTGGTATGTAATTTATCCAAAACTATATTATTGAAAATAAGTATACTACTGGAATTCCCAATAATCTGTTAGAAAGTACAAAACAAATAATTAGTTGTAGCTTGTAAATAGTTATGCAGGTAGTTTTCACTTGTGTGAAACATGATAAGCCTAAGGTTACAGCATGTGAAAGTTGTGTATAACACATTAAGAAAACAAAAAAAAGTTACCAATAAAGCTCATTTATGAGTAGCATGTCCAAATTTGATAACCTTTTTTTTCCCTTCTAATTTATGACAGAATTGTTAAGAGAGAGAAAAATTTCTTGTTTGATTTATAAAATAACTGTTATGTTGGCATATCCAATATTACTATAGCTAAGAAACGAATACTGTTCTCTAATAATTTACTAGAAACTCTGTATTTAAACAGTGAAATTGGAGTAAAATGATAATAAAATTAACTTTCCAAGACACAGCTGGTATACTCGACACTCGATTCGCAATCTGCGGGTCTAAGGTTCGAATCCCATCACCCAACATGCTCGAACTTTCAAACTTAGAAGCGTTATAATGTAACTGTCAATCTCACATTTCGTTGGTAAAGAGTAACCCAAGAATTTTTGTTGGGTGTCGCTGACTAGCTGCTTTTTCTAGTCTATCACTTCTAAATTAGGGACGGCTAGCGCTGATAGTTTTCGAGTAGTTTTGTACGAAATTCAACAAATAAAGATGCAGATCAGATTTACATGATTAATTACAAACAAGCGAGAATGTTTACAATTTTCTGGACGTACTAAGTTTCTCCGTCAAACATGCTAAGTTAGTTTGCATGTAAACGATTTGCAGGGGGGGGGGGCGCACGCGTAGAGTTGGAAATTCGTCTCCGTAACTTAGATGCCAATGTAAAAAAAAAACCTAAAACAAGCTGTACCTCCAATTAAGTTATTAGTAGCCATTAGTATTGATTGAAAACCTGTCTTAAAAGTTATTTCCTAAGAAATATATGATAATTTTTTCATAATATTTGCTATGATGGATTCATATGAAATGTGTATTGTGTGTGTGTGTGCTTATTCTTTTTGAAAGCAACCAGCATAAAATTGCAGTATTTTACTTACCTAACAAAAGTTATTTTCACTTGTTTTGACCAAACATTATTTGCTTTCTATTAGTTTTTATTTTAAATGATAGTTTACAGTCAAACAGTGAACTTTTCCAGCATTCATTATTGATACAACACCTAATTACTGTTGTAACGTATTCTGTCATTGAGCTGGTAAAATATGGCCAATTCCAGGCTACGTGACAATAACAGATCAGTTTATTTATTTCTTAACGTTTATTACAGGCTACTATAAATTGTACAAATAACATTTTCATTCTCAAAGAAAATTACTCGATTGATAACAAACCTGTCTAACTTACTGATTATCTTTGTTCAAACAACTACTCGGTTTCACCCACTGAATTTATATAAAAGTACTGTCTGTTGTATGTCCATGTAACTACTTCGCAGGGTGTGGATGGATCTTCACCTAAGTTGGTGTGAAGGCTTGTTTGGTCCATGCGGGGGTACATACACATTTTCAATGTTGCGGTTTTTGTGGGCGTTTTTTACCACATCTTGCCCTTTGTAAATGGATCTTCAGCAAATTTGGTATGGAGGTTCATTGAGTCCATGTGGAGATGCATAAAAAAATTTTAGTTTTGCAGTTTTATGGGCTTTTTTTTTTCCAATTACATATAAGTGAAGCACCTTTTCATGTGCTAAGATAACCTCTCATTAATCATGAATTTACATACCTTCCGTCCAGGGGACGGGTACTCAAGCTAGTTCTCAATAACTTCTTAGTGAATAAATCATTGACGATTGGCACTCTACTAACTCATTTTATTTATAGCTGTCCTATCCTTGTTTCTAGATATTTCAGGAAGTCTCTCGATCATTACATCGTCATTATTAGCAGCCCCTCTAACTAACATCTAAATTAGAACAATGAAATATAGCTTACAACAACAGAAAAAGTCCTAGAATCAGCAGAAACCTGTTTCATTCTTTTATTTAAACAGACCTTGAAAATGAATTGTATTCTCTCCTCATGTCAATTACTTAGCAGCAATTGCGCAGTGCAAACATTGAGTAGCATATTAACGAGTTTTCATTTCAAATTAAAATAATATTTTTTAGCCGCGGCATAGCGGCTCATGAGATCGCTCGAGTTTTTCAAGCATAATTTTTTAGTTCATAGCTCCGTTATATCTTCATCGATTTGAGATCTAATTACAGTTTTGGACTCAGGAGGTCAAATTCTTTCGATTGATGTATTTGACCAGGCCCAAGGTCTCATAGATTAATTTACTCTAATCCTTCCTAAAATAATTTCAATTTGAGGGTAGGCTTGTTTGTATTGCTGGCGCACACAAATATAGTCAATAAAAAGGAAAACAAGAGGAAATCCTCAATGGCCGCGGCATTTTAAATTCTTTTAGGCAGAATTAGGGTAAATTAATATATGAAACCTTGTTTCCGTTTTTATTAGCTATATTTTTGTACGCCAGTAATACCAAACGTGGGACATGCGTATACCAGATTCGATTTTTTACTCATCAGGATCTCTACCAGCCTACCCTCAAATTGAAGTTCTTTTAGGCAGGAATATTATAAATTAATTTATAAGACCTTGGGTTTGTTCAAACACATCAATCGAAAGGGTTTGACCTCCGAGTCCAAAAGTGTAATTAGATTTCAAATCGGTCAAGATATGATGGAGCTATTAACTAAAAGTTTGTACTTGGAAAAGATGAAAATAAACTCGGAGCCGTTCTCTGAGCTGCCCATTCACGGCTAAAAAGGTCTCATAGATTACTTACTCTAATCCTGCCTAAAAGAATTTCAAGTGCCACTGCTACGGAAGATTCGCTCTTGTTTTATCTATTATCACCAAGTATAAAAGGCTTATTTCTTTTATCATTGTCGAGAAAGCTTTCACGCTCCTTTTTTTCTTAAACTTCAACAATATATACACCTGGAAAAAAGTTAAGCACCCCCCGTGTTTTTTTCAAGTGATTCAGATTCGACGTTCTTGTGACTGATTTTAAATTA